AGCGGTATAGAGAAACAACTATAACAACAACATAAACGAACAGCTAGTACTACTCAAGACTTAATCTACAAAGCTGCTGAAAAATATCTCCACCATGATGAACACACAGCCGTTTTTTGGATAAATAACAGGTGCACATCTCTCAACACGTGCTCCCTTATGTTCAGAAAAGCATCCTTAATCCTTACCTTCATATTTTTCGGGGTAGATGGTGGATGTCTATAAACCTCTTAACGTAGCCCCATAGAAAGAAGTCCATCGATGTCATATTTGGTGATCTAGGAGGCCAAGATATAGGCCCATTACGACCGATCCAACGATTGTTACTCCAGGTGTCCAAATAGTTACGCACACGATTGTGGTAATGCACAGGTGCGCCGTCATGTTGGAAGTACATATGCATCCAAGTTTGCAGGTTGACATCATCGTAAAGAAAATACTCGATCAAAAATTCAAGTAATATGTACCTGTTAATCTGTTGTCGAAAAAGAAAGGCCCGATAATTTGTCTGCCAATAACTCCTCCCAACCATTCAAGCTCCATTTATTTTGGAAATCTATTTGCCTAACCCAGTAAGGATTTTGCGACGCATAGTAGTGTTATGCCTGTCGACAGAACATATGCTGTTAAAAGTTGCCGCATTGCTTAAAAGAACCTTATCCCGGAAAGTAGTGTCTTCACTCACCTTATTTAGCATTATTCTACTAAACCCCATTCGAGCTGCGAAATCCTGAGGACGAAAGCCTTGATGCAAGCATATGTGATATGGATGGTACCTATGCTTATGAATAATCCTTATGATACAAGTTCTGCATATGTCAGTTTCTGCTCCAATTTGCCGTGCACTTAAATGGGGATTTTCTTGCAACTTTAATAGAACCTCCAACTGATTTGCCAGCTTGGTGACACTTCTATTATTTATACATTTTTTACTATATTCCACTGCTTCACTTGACTCAAAACGTTCTCGTAGTGTGGAAAATATTTCCGGCCTTGGATGTCGCATATTAGGGTACCGTTGCTTATAAAACGAACGTGTTCACCATTTATTCTTTAGAAAAATTCATTTTCAAACACGTTTTCATTATAATGCTCACAAAGCTAATTTTGATAGTTTGTAGCTAATCAACAATTTATTTGTTTCCAAAGGCGAAGCGATATTTTAGCGAATTAAGCCGTTCCATAAAAGACGTGCAAATAACCGAAAAAATAGCCGTAAAAACCGTTATGTCTCTAGTATAAAAAAAAAATTGATTGAATAAAAACTTGCACAAATATACAGGTTGATGCATTTGAAATTTTTGAGAAAAACTAAAATTTGCGTTTTTGACCATTCTGTAAGAGCAAAAATTAAAATTCGAAAAAGTAACAAATGAGGTATGCATACCCTCGGGATCAAACCAGCTGTGAAGTTAGGATAAAATAATTCATATTAAGTGAAATTAGCTGCTTAAGTATATAGATGCAGTTCCACGGGGTTTCAGCACATGGCGTCTGTGGACATTGGCAACAGCTGAATCAGCTCCCTTCCTCAGGGGCTGCTTGGAACTCTCATTACGGGGCACAGGACGTGGAAAAGTCGTCAGGGCTTCATCTGAAGGTATCAGCACTCGTTTGGTGGAGAAAACGTAAGGTGAAGAAGATGAAAAAGTTGGAAGAAGATGAAAAAGGCCTGAATAAAAATCCAATATGGCGCTGGGTTCCATTTTAAACGAAGCCGAATTGCTTACCTCTGTTGGAGTGTGGCCTAAAAGTGTCGGCTAGAACGCCGTAAAAGCGTCGAAGACTCCCGTCTCTCACATCCACATAAAAAGGAAGAACGCTTAGACTTCATTTGGCGTAAAGATCCGCAAAATGCGTGCTTCTCAACAGAGCTACGACCAAAAAGTGAAGCTTCTTCAACTTGGACGCGGAACACAAAGTTCGAGAGGAGCAATGGAGCAATGGAACAACAGCGGACTGTTCCCGGACTGAAAGGACCGAACAACTGTCAAATGTAACATTGTGGTTAGGAAAGAAACGAAGACGTAAACAATTCTCAGATGAAGGGGCCTCAACTACAAAATGAGATAATAGGTGGAGAGTTACGCATAAGTCATACAGAAAATCTTCAGGTAGTTAAACTAGAAATATGTCTACCCTTGTTTAGTGTTTACGATTATTGCAGGGTCACGGCAGTTCCTACAGTGTACAATTTTCAGCTAATAAATCTTGAATTCTGAGGTAACAAAATCAACTAGAACTCTGTAAAAGTGATTTATCAGAAATCATGCCCTTACTTCCATGATAAGAGGGATTCGTAAAAATTATAAGCAGGTTGTGGCTTATTATCTAGTAAAAGATACAAGAATCCCAGATCTGAAAACGATTATTGTTCATGTGATCACAAACTTGCAGCGACTTGGTTTGTGCGTCGTTGGCACTATTTGTAATCAGGGCGCAACGATCAAAAACGCACTTGAGACGATTTGCTCGGAGAATACTCACGGATCAAGTCCATTCCATTTTATAGTCAATGCTCAGAGTATTTCTACAATTTGTGATGAACAACATTTATTCAAAAATGGATGAAATGCTCTTATTGACATTAATATGAAAGTGAAGAAGCTGCACAGCTTGAACATGTCTAGAAAGCATATAATGTTGATCAGCAAACAAAACCATACAAAGAGCTATGTAAATTGAAACCCAGCCACTTTGATTTTATAGATTCGTTTAAGAATATAGAAATTAATCCTTTAATGGTATCGTCGGATGATTCGAGCTTTCTCAGTTATGTGGTGGGGTCCCGTGACTTCTCATAAGGTATAACCACGTATACCTCAAACCACAGTTTAATTTAAACATCACAAGTGTTGGTTTGTTGACTTTGCGGTCAAATTTGATCCGAGGATGTCAGTTGCGTGTACGATTTGAACTTCCCTCACAATGGATTTTTTCGTTGTTGACGGATGAACAATACACCATAGATTACGCCGAGGACGACGCTGTTATCGATCAACCTGAACAACTTCCTATGGGCGACCTCGCTATGCTTATGGAAAAACATGTACAATTGGTCAAAACGAGCGCCTGCAACTGGTCGATCCAGACGACAATATTATTACGCATTTACCTGAACTAAAGTCCGTGGCAACCAATTTGGAAAATAATAACCCTGTGCCTCGAGAAATGCAGATAAATTTCTCCAAATACGTGAAATTTTCGAGTCACTCATAGAGAACTGTCGAAATTGTTAAATTTCGGGTGAGTCCCCTACAAAATACGAGATGCTCGTGGGCCGATGTCCTTCCTATGCCTACAAGAAAACTAAACCGAATAAGTATGGACTGATGATGCAAAGACTCACCACTACCTGCTCAATGCTTTCGTCTATACGAACAGAAATATCACAGCAGATGACTGGTTCACGTCAGTAGAATTGCACGTAGAATTGCGCATCAACCAACTGACCTATGTCGGCAGGAAGCGTAAAAATAAGTAACAAGTACCTCACATGTAGTTCCAAATAAGAAGGAAACACAGCCAGGAACTTCTAAGTTTATATTCACTAGCACTACAGCCTTAGTGTAGTATCTTCCAAAACCAAATACACATGTTCTCGTATAGCAATCTATGCAGCATGACAACAAAATAGTAGAGGAATCAAAGAAACCTGATAAGATTCTATATTATTTTTATAACACTATGAAGGCGGGGGTAATGCATTAGATCGGAAGTGTGTAAATTACAATACTGGTTAGAGAACGAGAAGATGCCTTGTGCTATTTGTATCCAACCAGCTTCTGTAAATTCCTTTTTTTTCAGTCTGGGACTGAAAGTTCTATTAGGCGACGAAATTTTATTGTTCCCCTGAGGCAAACTCTAATTTAACTTCGTATGAGAGGACGTTTATCAGATCCAAGACTTCCTAGGGAGCTTCGTTCAGCCATGCAAAGAATCCTAAATTACCAACGACGAATAAAGTAAGCCGTCTACTTCTCAGCCCAGAGTTCTCGATCCTGATGCAATTGTTAAAGGGAAAAACGACGTAGGTGATACATGACAATACACAATGAAAAAAATGTTCTACAATCTGTAATAAGTATGTAAAGTCACAGCGCAGCTACATTGTTCGTGAAAAGTGATAAATGTGAATTATTGTACGTTTCCTTATACGAGAAAGTATTTGTTATTGTTGTAGAATATCAACACCAAATATGTTGTTAAATGGCCCATTTTGTTAGTTTTTTTATGTTCATATTACAATTCAAGTTTCGTAAATTATATTTATTGCATTACTCATCTTCAAATGGGGTATTTTCGTTTTTAGACAATAAACAGTTTTCATGTAAGAGTGTTTTATGCGTACAAACCTGTTGTACACATGGCTAAAAAGAGTAATGGCATTTCAGAAGTTGATAGTAAGATCCGGTGGATAACCTGTTTTGCGAGATTAGACGTGGGATTTCCAACACGAACCCCATCTGCTTATTTGCAGCATTAAAAACTGTAATAATCAACAATTTCAGTTTTCCATTGACAATAATGAAGAATTATGAAGGCGATTCATGTAAGGCACTAGGTAACTTCGCGTTGCTTTTAGAAGAGTATTGTCTGAATAGACAACAGTTACCTTGTGATTCTTCACCGAGCTGCATTTTTCAAGTTGAAAATCAGGTGCTGAAAGTGATGGATCTATAGATTTGTGAGAATATTGCTGCTGCTTCAACTTCGTCTTGTAATAACAATAACAGTCTATATGAAATTTAACAATTCTGTTTCTTCTTTGATTTTGAGTCACCCTGTAAATGTAGCTCTACTAAACTATCGGACCTCATTCATAGCCTACAAGAGAAAAAAATCTTCTATACTGGAAAGGAGGAAAAAAAGAATGTATCATCCTGATACATCTGCCCCTCTTTATAACCCGTGAAATAGCCCTAGTTCTAATTAAATTTCAGTTCAAGCTTCCAAAATGACCTTCCGACAATATTAAAGTAGCCATAAAGATCAGACCAATGATCCACCGCGAAGTAGCCGATGGTCTAGAGCGTCTTTGGAACGTAAGAGAAAACTGCATATGGGAAGCCGATGAAAGTAGTCGCCATGGAGAGGTTTATATATTCGACCATGTATTTAACCAGGAATGTACAAATTCAGATGTATATGGATCTGTAGTAAAACCTTAGTCGATTCCTTCATGGAAGGTTTTCAATGCAACAATATTTGCATAAGGCCAAACATCTTCTGGCAAAACACACACCATTTTGGGCAATAAAACAGATCCTGGGCTTTTCCAATTAGTATCCAATCAGTTATTCCAGCATGTGGCAGACCAGGTTGATAAGAGGTACTTGATTAGATTCAGTTATATTGAAATCTACAATGAAAAGATCAATGACCTCCTGGATAAGAGCAATCAGGGTTTAACTATAAGAGAAGATATCAAAGGAAATGTGCTGCTTGATGCAAGGGAAGCTGTCGTAGACAATGTTGATCAAGTTATGGAGAACATGATGCAGAGCAATAAGATCAGACGAGTTGCAGCTACTCGCATGAATGAGAGGTCATCTCGATCACACACGATTTTCCGGATTATTCTGGAGTCGAAAGATGCCAATCAGAAAGATGGACCTGTACATATAAGCTACCTTAACTTAATGGACTTAGCTGGTTCTGAGAGAGTTTCTCTGACGAAAGCTGCTGGTGAGCGTCTTAAAGAGGGGGCTAACATAAACAAATCTTTGTCAGTATTAGGAAATGTGATAAGGCAACTAAGCGAGGGTAAGGAGTTTATCAGTTATCGCGATTCGAAATTGACTAGACTGCTCTCACAGGCTCTTGGCGGTAATGCCAAATCATTGATTATCGGGAATGTTATACGATGCCATAATGATTCTACTATAAAAGAGCTTCAGGATTAAATGGCTGAACTGGAATGCCAAAACGAAATCTGGATTATGAAAAATGACGACGAAATCTGCTGACGCCACAATATTCCATACATGTTAACATTAGTAGGAAATTATAATAGAGGAGCAGACTTTCAAAGGGCGTCAGGAATAGTTTTTTTGAAATTGGACAAAAGATGTCGCTGGAATGTATACGTTTATCTCCATGTATGGACAAACAAATAGACTTTGTTACACTTGTTAGTTCAGATTTTTTGTATAGGCGGTTAGTATAGCCTTCTCTTTGGGCACGTGCCGTATTATTTTAATCGTGTCGTATCCTGCACAGTTGGCAAAGCGTTACTCATGGATGAAGAGCATATAGTTGATCGAGACAATGGAGGGTAACATCGCGGCAGCGGTATATTGAATTATGTTATTTGAGGGAATCTTCTCACAGTTTGTGTGAACTTTACGGTTTCGAAGTTCCCTCTACGCACGGCAAAAACAAAAAACTTGCATTTAAAAATATTCCTGTCGAAAGTTTTAGACGCTTCCGAGAAAAGTTTTGCTCACAAAAAGACATGGTTAAACAGGATACGACATTGTCTCATTTGATTGAAATTGGAACTGGAAAAAAACGATCTGGTCAAACATCTGCTAAGAACCGCAAAAAAAACAATTTGCCAGAAAATGTTTTAAGAGTTTTTGATAGTGGTCAGAAGCGCATACAAACTATTTCTGGGCAAATGAAAGCTGGATCTGGTATTGCTGAGACTCGCGATGGAGAACGGCGCTGACAGAAAAATGTGGAAAAAACGTACAAAAGTAAAATCATCCATTGCTAACTTAAGGGAGTCAAGAGAGTTACTACGGAAACGCGAAATCTAAAAGAACATATTTATCCTCAGAGTGCAACATAACCATACTGAACAGAGTATTCAATTATAGCATCGGATAAAGATATAAAGTGCACTACAAGTATTTTAGTCCATTTTTTATTTTTGAATGACTTTAACATAGGATTCGGTATCCCTGCCATCGACGTTTGCGGATTCTGTAGGCAGCAGATAAGCCTGCTCTCTTTGGTGAAATTCCAATGTGAAAAGCAGACCGTTATAACAAATCTAAAGGTACATAAATTGAGAGCTAAGCATTTTTTTTTCATGGTGCAGAAAAAACGGTATGGCATTCTGCTTCGATTTTTAGCGGGTACAATCTGTCCCTAAAGTCCCGATTTCAGACGCCATTTATGTTTTTTTTGTACCACAGACATACTCTTCTTGTATGTTTTTCGTATCACAAACATACCACGCAAGTAATCAATTTTCTATTCATGGCTAGAATACCAAGCTAGAAGGAGCGCCACAGAAGTTGGCTCTGCCATTTACGACTTTCTTAGAAAGATGAACTTCCAGAAAATGTAGAAGAATTGAAGTCGTTTATTGAATACTGTGGAGGCCAAATCAAGAACACACACTTAGTTCACATGCCAACGATGTGCTTGCCAGCGGACCACATTTTTGGACGATGTGAGAAGCTTATTAGACCCCAGAGCACACATGGTTTGATATCCGCTATGTCTACCTTCAACAAAATCGATCGAATCAGTCATGCTAAGCGAATCTTGATAAAACGGACCCCAAAACAACAAGAAGCTGTAATAATAGAAATCTTTTACACAAACGGTGATGCCACTGCCAAGTATCTAAATCATGAAATAAAAGGGAAAAAGTTGAAAAATCTGCATAAACTTGTAGTGCAATTATCTACAGAAAGATGGCGTGTTGATGAAGAATTGCAATGGCTTCTTCAAAGTTTCTCAGAGCATCTTGAATAACTGCAAGAGATTAGTGATGAAGAAAATGCCCAAGGAGTATGTAACTGCATCGAAGATGACGGCGGGAAAGTTTGATCGTTTTTCTTTTAATGTACTTCTAAGACAACATTGTATCGGTAAATGAAAAATAATTTGGGATAAGCTACCGCTTCCCAAACAAAAGGATTCTCATTTGGACAAACAAAGCGCATTAAACAAAATACATTTTTGGTCAAAGAACGAAATTTTGATATTCTTCGGTTAATCCTTTTTGTAGTATGTTTGCCGCTGCTTTTCGGCAGTTTTTGCCACATTTCTCAATTTATCTGAAACATATCATAGCCGTTTATGAAAGTCTGCTACTCAATTATAGTACAAGAAATCGGTGGCACTACATTTTGTTTGGCTATTTGTATTGCAATACTTGTATGCAGGTCCCACATTAGGTCAGTCTATTCATGCAACGAACATTTTTACTGGGTATGTAGATAGACTCTGGAAATGTGAGGGCCACCCATTTCCTGATGCATTCGGGTGTTGGACAGGAGTTGCAGCTCAAGGGTGGGCTCGTGTGACGTAAGTAGACTAACAGATAAGGTATCAACATATACTATAGTGCATCTCCCAGGACAAATAACTAGCGAATACTCAAAAAAAACATTGCAATGGTTACATTGGCGGAGAGAACCATTGGGAGTTAATAGATCATAATACATGTTTACGAAATGAGTATAACGTATTGTATTAAGGAGTTGCAAACGTGACCAAAGGAATTATCTCTCGCTGAGACTTTGCTAGAACGTAATCACCTACTACGTATAGTACAGTAATTGGCGTCATTATTTGCTTGTATGTATATGGGTGCAGTAGGACACCAACAAGAGGGTTCATCTAAATAACGTAAATATGACGCTGTAATTATATATATATATATATATATATATATATATATATATATATATATATATAGGGTGGCCCATCCATGTGTGGACGGAATATTACTGATAAACAAATACATTTTGTCATGTTATACATGACATTTGAGGGCGCACTTCTAAAATATTGGCAATTATACAGGTTGTCAGAATTATGACCTACATATCAAAGTTGTTACTTTTTAAATGGATTGCCTCAAATTTTATTGCATCTTTGGATAAATAATTCAAAAGAAGAAGATTGATATAGCATACTATGGGGTTTTGGTAATTAGCTACTGAGATGTGAGGTGTTTTCTCTAGAAAAACCGTCCGCTTCGGCAACCCCTCAATCCGCCATTTTGAAATTTGGAGTGCTGAATTTTGTATCAAAATACTTAAAAACCTCAGCTTTTATCTTATTTGTTACTTCTTCCAATATTCATTTTTGCTCATACAGGGTGGTCAAAAACGCGAATTGTACGTGTTCTCAAAAATTTGGCATAAAGACTAATAACACTATAAATCAGCTTCAAGCGTAATAGAGAAAAACAACTATAACAACAACATAAACGAACAGCTAGTACTACTCAAGACTTAATCTACAAAAGCTGCTGAAAAATATCTCCACCATGATGAACACACAGCCGTAGTTTTTGGATAAATAACAGGTGCACATCTCTCAACACGTGCTCCCTTATGTTCAGAAAAGCATCCTTAATCCTTACCTTCATATTTTTCGGGGTAGATGGTGGATGTCTATAAACCTCTTAACGTAGCCCCATAGAAAGAAGTCCATCGATGTCATATTTGGTGATCTAGGAGGCCAAGATATAGGCCCATTACGACCGATCCAACGATTGTTACTCCAGGTGTCCAAATAGTTACGCACACGATTGTGGTAATGCACAGGTGCGCCGTCATGTTGGAAGTACATATGCATCCAAGTTTGCAGGTTGACATCATCGTAAAGAAAATACTCGATCAAAAATTCAAGTAATATGTACCTGTTAATCTGTTGTCGAAAAAGAAAGGCCCGATAATTTGTCTGCCAATAACTCCTCCCAACCATTCAAGCTCCATTTATTTTGGAAATCTATTTGCCTAACCCAGTAAGGATTTTGCGACGCATAGTAGTGTTATGCCTGTCGACAGAACATATGCTGTTAAAAGTTGCCGCATTGCTTAAAAGAACCTTATCCCGGAAAGTAGTGTCTTCACTCACCTTATTTAGCATTATTCTACTAAACCCCATTCGAGCTGCGAAATCCTGAGGACGAAAGCCTTGATGCAAGCATATGTGATATGGATGGTACCTATGCTTATGAATAATCCTTATGATACAAGTTCTGCATATGTCAGTTTCTGCTCCAATTTGCCGTGCACTTAAATGGGGATTTTCTTGCAACTTTAATAGAACCTCCAACTGATTTGCCAGCTTGGTGACACTTCTATTATTTATACATTTTTTACTATATTCCACTGCTTCACTTGACTCAAAACGTTCTCGTAGTGTGGAAAATATTTCCGGCCTTGGATGTCGCATATTAGGGTACCGTTGCTTATAAAACGAACGTGTTCACCATTTATTCTTTAGAAAAATTCATTTTCAAACACGTTTTCATTATAATGCTCACAAAGCTAATTTTGATAGTTTGTAGCTAATCAACAATTTATTTGTTTCCAAAGGCGAAGCGATATTTTAGCGAATTAAGCCGTTCCATAAAAGACGTGCAAATAACCGAAAAAATAGCCGTAAAAACCGTTATGTCTCTAGTATAAAAAAAAAATTGATTGAATAAAAACTTGCACAAATATACAGGTTGATGCATTTGAAATTTTTGAGAAAAACTAAAATTTGCGTTTTTGACCATTCTGTAAGAGCAAAAATTAAAATTCGAAAAAGTAACAAATGAGGTATGCATACCCTCGGGATCACACCAGCTGTGAAGTTAGGATAAATAATTCATATTAAGTGAAATTAGCTGCTTAAGTATATAGATGCAGTTCCACGGGGTTTCAGCACATGGCGTCTGTGGACATTGGCAACAGCTGAATCAGCTCCCTTCCTCAGGGGCTGCTTGGAACTCTCATTACGGGGCAGGACGTGGAAAAGTCGTCAGGGCTTCATCTGAAGGTATCAGCACTCGTTTGGTGGAGAAAACGTAAGGTGAAGAAGATGAAAAAGTTGGAAGAAGATGAAAAAGGCCTGAAATAAAAATCCAATATGGCGCTGGGTTCCATTTTAACGCAAGCCGAATTGCTTACCTCTGTTGGAGTGTGGCCTAAAAGTGTCGGCTAGAACGCCGTAAAAGCGTCGAAGACTCCCGTCTCTCACATCCACATAAAAAGGAAGAACGCTTAGACTTCATTTGGCGTAAAGATCCGCAAAATGCGTGCTTCTCAACAGAGCTACGACCAAAAAGTGAAGCTTCTTCAACTTGGACGCGGAACACAAAGTTCGAGAGGAGCAATGGAGCAATGGAACAACAGCGGACTGTTCCCGGACTGAAAGGACCGAACAACTGTCAAAATGTAACATTGTGGTTAGGAAAGAAACGAAGACGTAAACAATTCTCAGATGAAGGGGCCTCAACTACAAAATGAGATAATAGGTGGAGAGTTACGCATAAGTCATACAGAAAATCTTCAGGTAGTTAAACTAGAAATATGTCTACCCTTGTTTAGTGTTTACGATTATTGCAGGGTCACGGCAGTTCCTACAGTGTACAATTTTCAGCTAATAAATCTTGAATTCTGAGGTAACAAAATCAACTAGAACTCTGTAAAAGTGATTTATCAGAAATCATGCCCTTACTTCCATGATAAGAGGGATTCGTAAAAATTATAAGCAGGTTGTGGCTTATTATCTAGTAAAAGATACAAGAATCCCAGATCTGAAAACGATTATTGTTCATGTGATCACAAACTTGCAGCGACTTGGTTTGTGCGTCGTTGGCACTATTTGTAATCAGGGCGCAACGATCAAAAACGCACTTGAGACGATTTGCTCGGAGAATACTCACGGATCAAGTCCATTCCATTTTATAGTCAATGCTCAGAGTATTTCTACAATTTGTGATGAACAACATTTATTCAAAAATGGATGAAATGCTCTTATTGACATTAATATGAAAGTGAAGAAGCTGCACAGCTTGAACATGTCTAGAAAGCATATAATGTTGATCAGCAAACAAAACCATACAAAGAGCTATGTAAATTGAAACCCAGCCACTTTGATTTTATAGATTCGTTTAAGAATATAGAAATTAATCCTTTAATGGTATCGTCGGATGATTCGAGCTTTCTCAGTTATGTGGTGGGGTCCCGTGACTTCTCATAAGGTATAACCACGTATACCTCAAACCACAGTTTAATTTAAACATCACAAGTGTTGGTTTGTTGACTTTGCGGTCAAATTTGATCCGAGGATGTCAGTTGCGTGTACGATTTGAACTTCCCTCACAATGGATTTTTTCGTTGTTGACGGATGAACAATACACCATAGATTACGCCGAGGACGACGCTGTTATCGATCAACCTGAACAACTTCCTATGGGCGACCTCGCTATGCTTATGGAAAAAACATGTACAATTGGTCAAAACGAGCGCCTGCAACTGGTCGATCCAGACGACAATATTATTACGCATTTACCTGAACTAAAGTCCGTGGCAACCAATTTGGAAAATAATAACCCTGTGCCTCGAGAAATGCAGATAAATTTCTCCAAATACGTGAAATTTTCGAGTCACTCATAGAGAACTGTCGAAATTGTTAAATTTCGGGTGAGTCCCCTACAAAATACGAGATGCTCGTGGGCCGATGTCCTTCCTATGCCTACAAGAAAACTAAACCGAATAAGTATGGACTGATGATGCAAAGACTCACCACTACCTGCTCAATGCTTTCGTCTATACGAACAGAAATATCACAGCAGATGACTGGTTCACGTCAGTAGAATTGCACGTAGAATTGCGCATCAACCAACTGACCTATGTCGGCAGGAAGCGTAAAAATAAGTAACAAGTACCTCAACATGTAGTTCCAAATAAGAAGGAAACACAGCCAGGAACTTCTAAGTTTATATTCACTAGCACTACAGCCTTAGTGTAGTATCTTCCAAAACCAAATACACATGTTCTCGTATAGCAATCTATGCAGCATGACAACAAAATAGTAGAGGAATCAAAGAAACCTGATAAGATTCTATATTATTTTTATAACACTATGAAGGCGGGGGGTAATGCATTAGATCGGAAGTGTGTAAATTACAATACTGGTTAGAGAACGAGAAGATGGCCTTGTGCTATTTGGTATCCAACCAGCTTCTGTAAATTCCTTTTTTTTCAGTCTGGGACTGAAAGTTCTATTAGGCGACGAAATTTTATTGTTCCCCTGAGGCAAACTCTAATTTAACTTCGTATGAGAGGACGTTTATCAGATCCAAGACTTCCTAGGGAGCTTCGTTCAGCCATGCAAAGAATCCTAAATTACCAACGACGAATAAAGTAAGCCGTCTACTTCTCAGCCCAGAGTTCTCGATCCTGATGCAATTGTTAAAGGGAAAAAACGACGTAGGTGATACATGACAATACACAATGAAAAAAATGTTCTACAATCTGTAATAAGTATGTAAAGTCACAGCGCAGCTACATTGTTTCGTGAAAAGTGATAAATGTGAATTATTGTACGTTTCCTTATACGAGAAAGTATTTGTTATTGTTGTAGAATATCAACACCAAATATGTTGTTAAATGGCCCATTTTGTTAGTTTTTTTATGTTCATATTACAATTCAAGTTTCGTAAATTATATTTATTGCATTACTCATCTTCAAATGGGGTATTTTCGTTTTTAGACAATAAACAGTTTTCATGTAAGAGTGTTTTATGCGTACAAACCTGTTGTACACATGGCTAAAAAGAGTAATGGCATTTCAGAAGTTGATAGTAAGATCCGGTGGATAACCTGTTTTGCGAGATTAGACGTGGGATTTCCAACACGAACCCCATCTGCTTATTTGCAGCATTAAAAACTGTAATAATCAACAATTTCAGTTTTCCATTGACAATAATGAAGAATTATGAAGGCGATTCATGTAAGGCACTAGGTAACTTCGCGTTGCTTTTAGAAGAGTATTGTCTGAATAGACAACAGTTACCTTGTGATTCTTCACCGAGCTGCATTTTTCAAGTTGAAAAATCAGGTGCTGAAAGTGATGGATCTATAGATTTGTGAGAATTTGCTGCTGCTTCAACTTCGTCTTGTAATAACAATAACAGTCTATATGAAATTTAACAATTCTGTTTCTTCTTTGATTTTGAGTCACCCTGTAAATGTAGCTCTACTAAACTATCGGACCTCATTCATAGCCTACAAGAGAAAAAAATCTTCTATACTGGAAAGGAGGAAAAAAAGAATGTATCATCCTGATACATCTGCCCCTCTTTATAACCCGTGAAATAGCCCTAGTTCTAATTAAATTTCAGTTCAAGCTTCCAAAATGACTTCCGACAATATTAAAGTAGCCATAAAGATCAGACCAATGATCCACCGCGAAGTAGCCGATGGTCTAGAGCGTCTTTGGAACGTAAGAGAAAACTGCATATGGGAAGCCGATGAAAGTAGTCGCCATGGAGAGGTTTATATATTCGACCATGTATTTAACCAGGAATGTACAAATTCAGATGTATATGGATCTGTAGTAAAACCTTTAGTCGATTCCTTCATGGAAGGTTTCAATGCAACAATATTTGCATAAGGCCAAACATCTTCTGGCAAAACACACACCATTTTGGGCAATAAAACAGATCCTGGGCTTTTCCAATTAGTATCCAATCAGTTATTCCAGCATGTGGCAGACCAGGTTGATAAGAGGTACTTGATTAGATTCAGTTATATTGAAATCTACAATGAAAAGATCAATGACCTCCTGGATAAGAGCAATCAGGGTTTAACTATAAGAGAAGATATCAAAGGAAATGTGCTGCTTGATGCAAGGGAAGCTGTCGTAGACAATGTTGATCAAGTTATGGAGAACATGATGCAGAGCAATAAGATCAGACGAGTTGCAGCTACTCGCATGAATGAGAGGTCATCTCGATCACACACGATTTTCCGGATTATTCTGGAGTCGAAAGATGCCAATCAGAAAGATGGACCTGTACATATAAGCTACCTTAACTTAATGGACTTAGCTGGTTCTGAGAGAGTTTCTCTGACGAAAGCTGCTGGTGAGCGTCTTAAAGAGGGGGCTAACATAAACAAATCTTTGTCAGTATTAGGAAATGTGATAAGGCAACTAAGCGAGGGTAAGGAGTTTATCAGTTATCGCGATTCGAAATTGACTAGACTGCTCTCACAGGCTCTTGGCGGTAATGCCAAATCATTGATTATCGGGAATGTTATACGATGCCATAATGATTCTACTATAAAAGAGCTTCAGGATTAAATGGCTGAACTGGAATGCCAAAACGAAATCTGGATTATGAAAAATGACGACGAAATCAGTAAATTGCAACAACTAATTACAAACCCGGAGTAGGCTGGCACTTAACCAGAACCACCTGTGCAGGAAGACGTTGCATTTTATAGGGAGCAAGTTGAGTTCTCCCAGAACATGTACAAAAATGAGATAATAGGTGGAGAGTTACGTATAAACCATAGAGAAAATCTTCAGGCAGTTAAACTAGAAATATGTCTACCCTTGTTTAGTGTTTACGATTATTGCAGGGTTTGGACAAAGTTTAGGGCTGATCCCACGGACCACGATAGCACCTAGGACTTAAGATTGTGAATCTAGTCTTGGTAACCGCTCACAGTGTACAATTTTCAGCTAATAAATCTTGAATTCTGAGGTAACAAAATCAACTAGAACTCCGTAAAAGTGATTTATCAGAAATCATGCCCTTACTTCCATGATAGGAGCGATTCGTAAAAATTATAAGCAGGTTGTGGCTTATTATCTAGTAAAAGATACAAGAATCCCAGATCTGAAAACGATTATTGTTCATGTGATCACAAACTTGCAGCGACTTGGTTTGTGCGTCGTTGGCACTATTTGTAATCAGGGCGCAACGATCAAAAACGCACTTGAGACGATTTGCTCGGAGAATACTCACGGATCAAGTCCATTCCATTTTATAGTCAATGCTCAAAGTATTTCTACAATTTGTGATTTATTCAAAAACGGCTAAATGCTCTTATTGACATTAATATGAAAGTGAAGAAGCTGCACAGCTGGATCATGTCTAGAAAGCATATAATGTTGATCAGCAAACAAGACCATACAAAGAGCTATGTAAATTGAAACCCAGCCACTTTGATTTTATAGATTCGTTTAATGGTATCGTCGGATGATTCGAGCTTTCTCAGTTATGTGGTGGGGGTCCCGTGACTTATCATACGGTATAAGCACGCATACCTCAAACCACAGTTTAATTTAAACATCACAAGTGTTGGTTTGTTGACTTTGCGGTCAAATTTGATCAGAGGATGTCAGTTGCGTGTACGATTTGAACTTCCTTCACAATGGATTTTTTCGTTGTTGACGGATGAACAATACACCATAGACTACGCCGAGGACGACGCTGTTAGCGATCAACCTGAACAACTTCCTATGGGCGACCTCGCTATGCCTATGGAAAAAACATGTACAATTGGTCAAAACGAGCGCCTGCAACTGGTCGATCCAGACGACAATATTATTACGCATTTACCTGAACTAAAGTCCGTGGCAACCAATTTGGAAAATAATAACCCTGTGACTCGAGGAATGCAGATAAATTTCTCCAAATACGTGAAATTTTCGAGACACTCATAGAGAACTGTCGAAATTTTTATATTTCGGGTGAGTCCCCTACAAAATACGAGATGCTCGTGGGCCGATGTCCTTCCTGTGCCTACAAGAAAACTAAACCGAATAAGTATGGACTGATGATGCAAAGACTCACCACTACCTGCTCAATGCTTTCGTCTATACGAACAGAAATATCACAGCAGATGAATGGTTCACGTCAGTAGAATTACACGTAGAATTGCGCATCAACCAACTGACCTATGTCGGCAGGAAGCGTAAAAATAAGTAACAAGTACCCCAACATGTAGCTCCAAATAAGAAGGAAACACAGCCAGGTACTTCTAAGTTTATTTATGTTCACTAGCACTACAGCCTTAGTGTAGTATCTTCCAAAACCAAATACACATGTTCTCGTATAGCAATCTATGCAGCATGATAACAAAATAGTAGAGGAATCAAAGAAACCTGATAAGATTCTATATTATTTTTATAACACTATGAAGGCGGGGGGTAATGCATTAAATCGGAAGTGTGTAAATTACAATACTGGTTAGAGAACGAGAAGATGGCCTTGTGCTATTTGGTATCCAACCAGCTTCTGTAAATACCTTTTTTTTTCAGTCAGGGACTGAAAGTTCTATTAGGCGACGAAATTTTATTGTTCCCCTGAGGCAAACTCTAATTTAACTTCGTATGAGAGGACGTTTATCAGATCCAAGACTTCCTAGGGAGCTTCGTTCAGCCATGCAAAGAATCCTAAATTACCAACGACGAATAAAGTGAGCCGTCTACTTCTCAGCCCAGAGTTCTCGGTCCTGATGCAGTTGTTAAAGGGAAAAAATGACGTAGGTGTTACATGACAATACAAAATGAAAAAAATGTTCTACAATCTGTAATAAGTATGTAAAGTCACAGCGCAGTTACATTGTTTCGTGAAAAGTGATAAATGTGAATTATTGTACGTTTCCTTATACGAGAAAGTATTTGTTTTTGTTGTAGAATATCAACACCAAGTATGTTGTTAAATGGCCCATTTTGTTAGTTTTTTTATGTTCATATTACAGTTCAAGTTTCGTAAATTATATTTATTGCATTAATCATCTTCAAATGGGGTATTTTCGTTTTTAGACAATAAACAGTTTTCATGTAAGAGTGTCTTATGCGTACAAACCTGTTGTACACATGGCTAAAAACAGTAATGGCATTTCAGAAGTTGATAGTAAGATCCGGTGGATAACCTGTTTTGCGAGATTAGACGTGGGATTTCCAACACGAACCCCATCTGCTTATTTGCAGCATTAAAAACTGTAATAATCAACAATTTCAGTTTTCCATTGACAATAATGAAGAATTATGAAGGCGATTCATGTAAGGCACTAGGTAACTTCGCGTTGCTTTTAGAAGAGTATTGTCTGAATAGACAACAGTTACCTTGTGATTTTTCACCGAGCTGCATTTTTCAAGTTGAAAAATCGGGTGCTGAAAGTGATGGATCTATAGATTTGTGAGAATTTGCTGCTGCTTCAACTTCTTTTTGTAATAACAATAACAGTCTATATAAAATTTAACAATTCTGGTCCTTCTTTGATTTTGAGTCACCCTGTAAATGTAGCTCTACTAAACTATCGGACCGCATTCATAGCCTACAAGAGAAAAAAATCTTCTATACTGGAAAGGAGGAAAAAAGAATGTATCAACCTGATACATCTGCCCCTCTTTATAACCCGTGAAATAGCCCTAGTTCTAATTAAATTTCAGTCCAAGCTTCCAAAATGACTTCCGACAATATTAAAGTAGCCATAAAGATCAGACCAATGATCCACCGCGAAGTAGCCGATGGTCTAGAGCGTCTTTGGAACGTAAGAGAAAACTGCATATGGGAAGCCGATGAAAGTAGTCGCCATGGAGAGGTTTATATATTCGACCATATATTTAACCAGGAATGTACAAATTCAGATGTATATGGATCTGTAGTAAAACCTTTAGTCGATTCCTTCATGGAAGGTTTCAATGCCACAATATTTGCATATGGCCAAACATCTTCTGGCAAAACACACACCATTTTGGGCAATAAAACAGATCCTGGGCTTTTCCAATTAGTATCCAATCAGTTATTCCAGCATGTGGCAGACCAGGTTGATAAGAGGTACTTGATTGGATGCAGTTATATTGAAATCTACAATGAAAAGATCAATGACCTCCTGGATAAGAGCAATCAGGGTTTAACTATAAGAGAAGATATCAAAGGAAATGTGCTGCTTGATGCAAGGGAAGCTGTCGTAGACAATGTTGATCAAGTTATGGAGAACATGATGCAGGGCAATAAGATCAGACGAGTTGCAGCTACTCGCATAAATGAGAGGTCATCTCGATCACACACGATTTTCCGGATTATTCTGGAGTCGAAAGATGCCAATCAGAAAGATGGACCTGTACATATAAGCTACCTTAACTTAATGGACTTAGCTGGTTCTGAGAGAGTTTCTCTGACGAAAGCTGCTGGTGAGCGTCTTAAAGAGGGGGCTAACATAAACAAATCTTTGTCAGTATTAGGAAATGTGATAAGGCTAAGCGAGGGGAAGGAGTTTATCAGTTATCGCGATTCGAAATTGACTAGACTGCTCTCACAGGCTCTTGGCGGTAATGCCAAATCATTGATTATCGGGAATGTTACTTTAGCTGCAGAGGAGGAGACTAGATCTACACTAGAATTCGCCCAAAGCACTAAAACTGTCAAAAATAAACCGAAAGTAAACATCTTGTCAGCTACAGAAGAGGCACTTCAAGGATATCAGAACTTGACTCGCGATCTCGAAACTCGGCTCAAAAAGCAGGCAATTAAGCTAGAAGAGATGCAGAAAAGCAAACAAGAGTATCTGCTCGAGATAGAAAGACTAAAAACGGAAGTATCTATTGTCGGGCGCTTTCAAATGGGAGCCTCGGCATCAACACCGAAAAAAACATTAAGACGTCATACTTTTGGAGACTATGGCAACGTATCACCTAAAAAAGCATCCCTACGGTATATGCCATTGAAAAATTATCCACCCGAAGAAGAATCATCCGGACGTGAAATGAGGCCTATTCAAAAAGAGACATATGAGGAGGCACTAGCCGAAGCAGAATCTGTGATAGCTGAAGACGTGCCTGCAAGTGTGCTTAAAAGACAACTCAAAGAACTGGAAGAATCTTTCAATGTGCTTAGAGAATTCACTAAACTAGATAATCAGCTGGAGATTTTGGACCTGAAGAAACAGCTCACAGAAGCCAATTCTAAAATCGATCGTTACAGTCAGGAACTCCGCCAAGTAACGGATGCGTACAATGAAGAAATAGAAAGGGTTCAAAAAAATTCTCAAAAAGCGCAAGAATTTCATCGACTTGCAACACAGACTCGATTTTCTGGAAAAAAATTATAAAAAGACTAAAAACATACGAGTCAGAAATAGAGATGCTGCGTAGTCAACTGAAGAACCTAGGAAGATCAGAGAGCCCTAAACTATCTCTTGAAGCTCAAAATATTGAGTCAAAAAAGAAGGTTGCAGACTTAGAAGCTATGCTTGACGCTGAGTACGAAGATATGCAAGTTTCTTTAAGTGCTGCTACACAAACTGATGTAACGATGTCACACATTGCTGAACTGCAAGATGAAATTGGCTTCCTAAAAGAACTTGAATCTAAACTGAGAAATGACGCAAAGAGTCTGATGGACGACAATATTATTTACCTGAACTAAAGTCCGTGGCAACCAATTTGGAAAATAATAACCCTGTGACTCGAGAAATGCAGATAAATTTCTCCAAATACGAGAAATTTTCTAGACACTCATAGAGAACTGTCGAAATTGTTATATTTCGGGTGAGTCCCCTACAAAATACGAGATGCTCGAGGGCCGATGTCCTTCCTGTGCCTACAGGAAAACTAAACCGAATAAGTATGGACTGATGATGCAAAGACTCACCACTACCTGCTCAATACTTTCGTCTATACGAACAGAAATATCACAGCAGATGACTGGTTCACGTCAGTAGAATTACATGTAGAATTGCGAATCAACCAACTGACCTATGTCGGCAGGAAGCGTAAAAATAAGTAACAAGTACCCCAACATGTAGTTCCAAATATGAAGGAAACACAGCCAGGTACTTCTAAGTTTATGTTCACTAGCACTACAGCCTTAGAGTAGTATCTTCCAAAACCAAATACACATGTTCTCGTATAGCAATCTATGCAGCATGATAACAAAATAGTAGAGGAATCAAAGAAACCTGATAAGATCCTATATTATTTTTATAACACTATGAAGGCGGGGGGTAATGCATTAGATCGGAAGTGTGTAAATTACAATACTGGTTAGAGAACGAGAAGATGGCCTTGTGCTATTTGGTATCCAACCAGCTTCTGTAAATTCCTTTTTTTTTCAGTCTGGGACTGAAAGTTCCATTAGGCGACGAAATTTTATTGTTCCCCTGAGGCAAACTCTAATTTAACTTCGTATGAGAGGACGTTTATCAGATCCAAGACTTCCTAGGGAGCTTCGTTCAGCCATGCAAAGAATCCTAAATTACCAACGACGAATAAAGTAAGCCGTCTACTTCTCAGCCCAGAGTTCTCGATCCTGATGCAGTTGTTAAAGAAAAAAAACGACGTAGGTGTTACATGACAATACACAATGAAAAAAATGTTCTACAATCTGTAATAAGTATGTAAAGTCACAGCGCACTTACATTGTTTCGTGAAAAGTGATAAATGTTAATTATTGTATGTTTCCTTATACGAGAAAGTATTTGTTTTTGTTGTAGAATATCAACACCAAATATGTTGTTAAATGGCCCATTTTGTTAGTTTTTTTATGTTCATATTACAGTTCAAGTTTCGAGGATTATATTTATTGCATTACTCATCTTCAATGGGGTATTTTCGTTTTTAGACAATAAACAGTTTTCATGTAAGAGTGTCTTATGCGTACAAACCTGTTGTACACATGGCTAAAAACAGTAATGGCATTTCAGATGTTGATAGTAAGATCCGGTGGATAACCTGTTTTGCGAGATTAGATGTGGGATTTCCAACACGAACACCATCTGTTTATTTGAAGCATTAAAAACTGTAATAATCAACAATTTCAGTTTTCCATTGACAATAATGAAGAATTATGAAGGCGATTCATGTAAGGCACTAGGTAACTTCGCGTTGCTTTTAGAAGAGTATTGTCTGAATAGACAACAGTTACCTTGTGATTCTTCACCGAGCTGCATTTTTCAAGTTGAAAAATCGGGTGCTGAAAGTGATGGATCTATAGATTTGTGAGAATTTGCTGCTGCTTAAACTTCTTTTTGTAATAACAATAACAGTCTATATGAAATTTAACAATTCTGTTTCTTCTTTGATTTTGAGTCACCCTGTAAATGTAGCTCTACTAAACTATCGGACCGCATTCATAGCCTACAAGAGAAAAAATCTTCTATACTGGAAAGGAGGAAAAAAGAATGTATCAACCTGATACATCTGCACCTCTTTATAACCCGTGAAATAGCCCTAGTTCTAATTAAATTTCAGTTCAAGCTTCCAAAATGACTTCCAACAATATTAAAGTAGCCACAAAGATCAGACCAATGATCCACCGCGAAGTAGCCGATGGTCTAGAGCGTCTTTGGAACGTAAGAGTAAACTGCATATGGGAAGCCGATGAAAGTAGTCGCCATGGAGAGGTTTATATATTCGACCATGTATTTAATCAGGAATGTACAAATTCAGATGTATATGGATCTGTAGTAAAACCTTTAGTCGATTCCTTCATGGAAGGTTTCAATGCCACAATATTTGCATATGGCCAAACATCTTCTGGCAAAACACACACCATTTTGGGCAATAAAACAGATCCTGGGCTTTTCCAATTAGTATCCAATCAGTTATTCCAGCATGTGGCAGACCAGGTTGATAAGAGGTACTTGATTAGATGCAGTTATATTGAAATCTACAATGAAAAGATCAATGACCTCCTGGATAAGAGCAATCAGGGTTTAACTATGAGAAGATATCAAAGGAAATGTGCTGCTTGATGCAAGGGAAGCTGTCGTAGACAATGTTGATAAAGTTATGGAGAACATGATGCAGGGCAATAAGATCAGACGAGTTGCAGCTACTCGCATGAATGAGAGGTCATCTCGATCACACACGATTTTCCGGATTATTCTGGAGTCGAAAGATGCCAATCAGAAAGATGGACCTGTACATATAAGCTACCTTAACTTAATGGACTTAGCTGGTTCTGAGAGAGTTTCTCTGACGAAAGCTGCTGGTGAGCGTCTTAAAGAGGGGGCTAACATAAACAAATCTTTGTCAGTATTAGGAAATGTGATAAGGCAACTAAGCGAGGGGAAGGAGTTTATCAGTTATCGCGATTCGAAATTGACTAGACTGCTCTCACAGGCTCTTGGCGGTAATGCCAAATCATTGATTATCGGGAATGTTACTTTAGCTGCAGAGGAGGAGACTAGATCTACACCAGAATTCGCCCAAAGCACTAAAACTGTCAAAAATAAAACGAAAGTAAACATCTTGTCAGCTACAGAAGAGACACTTCAAGGATATCAGAACTTGACTCGCGATCTCGAAACTCGGCTCAAAAAGCAGGCAATTAAGCTAAAAGAGATGGATAAAAGCAAACAAGAGTATCTGCTCGAGATAGAAAGACTAAAAACGGAAGTATCTATTGTCGGGCGCTTTCAAATGGGAGCCTCGGCATCAACACCGAAAAAAACATTAAGACGTCATACTTTTGGACACTATGGCAACGTATCACCTAAAAAAGCATCCCTAGGGTATATGCCATTGAAAAATTATCCACCCAAAGAAGAATCATCCGGACGTGAAATGAGGCCTATTCAAGAAGAGACATATGAGGAGGCACTAGCCGAAGCAGAATCTGTGATAGCTGAAGACGTGCAAGTGTACTTAAAAGACAACGCAAAGAACTGGAAGAATCTTTCAATGAGCTTAGAGAATTCACTAAACTAGATAATCAGCTGGAGATTTTGGACCTGAAGAAACAGCTCACAGAAGCCAATTCTAAAATCGATCGTTACAGTCAGGAACTCCGCCAAGTAACGGATGCGTACAACGAAGAAATAGAAAGAGTTCAAAAAAATTCTCAAAAAGCGCAAGAATTTCATCGACTTGCAATACAGACTCGATTTTCTGGAAAAAAATAATAAAAAGACTAAAAACATACGAGTCAGAAATAGAGATGCTGCGTACTCAACTGAAGAACCTAGGAAGATCAGAGAGCCCTAAACCATCTCTTGAAGCTCAAAATATTGAGTCAAAAAAGAAGGTTGCAGACTTAGAAGCTATGCTTGACGCTGAGTACGAAGATATGCAAGATTCTTTAAGTGCTGCTACACAAACTGATGTAACGATGTCACACATTGCTGAACTGCAAGATGAAATTGGCTTCCTAAAAGAACTTGAATCTAAACTGAGAAATGACGTAAAGAGTCTGATGGACGAGAGTAACCAACGTGAGGTCAACCACTCATTTAAAATCTCAGATATACGATGCCATAATGATTCTACTATAAAAGAGCTTCAGGATCAAATGGCTGAACTGGAATGCCAAAACGAAATCTGGATTATGAAAAGTGACCCTCTTTATAACCCGTGAAATAGCCCTAGTTCTAATTAAATTTCAGTTCAAGCTTCCAAAATGACTTCCGACAATATTAAAGTAGCCACAAAGATCAGACCAATGATCCACCGCGAAGTAGCCGATGGTCTAGAGCGTCTTTGGAACGTAAGAGTAAACTGCATATGGGAAGCCGATGAAAGTAGTCGCCATGGAGAGGTTTATATATTCGACCATGTATTTAAGCAGGAATGTACAAATTCAGATGTATATGGATCTGTAGTAGAACCTTTAGTCGATTCCTTCATGGAAGGTTTCAATGCCACAATATTTGCATATGGCCAAACATCTTCTGGCAAAACACACACCATTTTGGGCAATAAAACAGATCCTGGGCTTTTCCAATTAGTATCCAATCAGTTATTCCAGCATGTGGCAGACCAGGTTGATAAGAGGTACTTGATTAGATGCAGTTATATTGAAATCTACAATGAAAAGATCAATGACCTCCTGGATAAGAGCAATCAGGGTTTAACTATAAGAGAAGATATCAAAGGAAATGTGCTGCTTGATGCAAGGGAAGCTGTCGTAGACAATGTTGATAAAGTTATGGAGAACATGATGCAGGGCAATAAGATCAGACGAGTTGCAGCTACTCGCATGAATGAGAGGTCATCTCGATCACACACGATTTTCCGGATTATTCTGGAGTCGAAAGATGCCAATCAGAAAGATGGACCTGTACATATAAGCTACCTTAACTTAATGGACTTAGCTGGTTCTGAGAGAGTTTCTCTGACGAAAGCTGCTGGTGAGCGTCTTAAAGAGGGGGCTAACATAAACAAATCTTTGTCAGTATTAGGAAATGTGATAAGGCAACTAAGCGAGGGGAAGGAGTTTATCAGTTATCGCGATTCGAAATTGACTAGACTGCTCTCACAGGCTCTTGGCGGTAATGCCAAATCATTGATTATCGGGAATGTTACTTTAGCTGCAGAGGAGGAGACTAGATCTACACCAGAATTCGCCAAAAGCACTAAAACTGTCAAAAATAAAACGAAAGTAAACATCTTGTCAGCTACAGAAGAGACACTTCAAGGATATCAGAACTTGACTCGCGATCTCGAAACTCGGCTCAAAAAGCAGGCAATTAAGCTAAAAGAGATGGATAAAAGCAAACAAGAGTATCTGCTCGAGATAGAAAGACTAAAAACGGAAGTATCTATTGTCGGGCGCTTTCAAATGGGAGCCTCGGCATCAACACCGAAAAAAACATTAAGACGTCATACTTTTGGACACTATGGCAACGTATCACCTAAAAAAGCATCCCTAGGGTATATGCCATTGAAAAATTATCCACCCAAAGAAGAATCATCCGGACGTGAAATGAGGCCTATTCAAGAAGAGACATATGAGGAGGCACTAGCCGAAGCAGAATCTGTGATAGCTGAAGACGTGCAAGTGTACTTAAAAGACAACTCAAAGAACTGGAAGAATCTTTCAATGAGCTTAGAGAATTCACTAAACTAGATAATCAGCTGGAGATTTTGGACCTGAAGAAACAGCTCACAGAAGCCAATTCTAAATTCGATCGTTACAGTCAGGAACTCCGCCAAGTAACGGATGCGTACAACGAAGAAATAGAAGAGTTCAAAAAAATTCTCAAAAAGCGCAAGAATTTCATCGACTTGCAATACAGACTCGATTTTCTGGAAAAAAATAATAAAAAGACTAAAAACATACGAGTCAGAAATAGAGATGCTGCGTACTCAACTGAAGAACCTAGGAAGATCAGAGAGCCCTAAACCATCTCTTGAAGCTCAAAATATTGAGTCAAAAAGAGGTTGCAGACTTAGAAGCTATGCTTGACGTGAGTACGAAGATATGCAACATTCTTTAAGTGCTGCTGCACAAACTGATGTAACGATGTCACACATTGCTGAACTGCAAATGAAATTGGCTTCCTAAAAGAACTGAATCTAAACTGAGAAATGACGTAAAGAGTCTGATGACGAGAGTAACCAACGTGAGGTCAACCACTCATTTAAATCTCAGATATACGATGCATAATGATTCTACTATAAAAGAGCTTCAGGATCAAATGGCTGAACTGGAATGCCAAAACGAAATCTGGATTATGAAAAGTGCCCCTCTTTATAACCCGTGAAATAGCCCTAGTTCTAATTAAATTTCAGTTCAAGCTTCCAAAATGACTTCCGACAATATTAAAGTAGCCACAAAGATCAGACCAATGATCCACCGCGAAGTAGCCGATGGTCTAGAGCGTCTTTGGAACGTAAGAGTAAACTGCATATGGGAAGCCGATGAAAGTAGTCGCCATGGAGAGGTTTATATATTCGACCATGTATTTAAGCAGGAATGTACAAATTCAGATGTATATGGATCTGTAGTAAAACCTTTAGTCGATTCCTTCATGGAAGGTTTCAATGCCACAATATTTGCATATGGCCAAACATCTTCTGGCAAAACACACACCATTTTGGGCAATAAAACAGATCCTGGGCTTTTCCAATTAGTATCCAATCAGTTATTCCAGCATGTGGCAGACCAGGTTGATAAGAGGTACTTGATTAGATGCAGTTATATTGAAATCTACAATGAAAAGATCAATGACCTCCTGGATAAGAGCAATCAGGGTTTAACTATAAGAGAAGATATCAAAGGAAATGTGCTGCTTGATGCAAGGGAAGCTGTCGTAGACAATGTTGATAAAGTTATGGAGAACATGATGCAGGGCAATAAGATCAGACGAGTTGCAGCTACTCGCATGAATGAGAGGTCATCTCGATCACACACGATTTTCCGGATTATTCTGGAGTCGAAAGATGCCAATCAGAAAGATGGACCTGTACATATAAGCTACCTTAACTTAATGGACTTAGCTGGTTCTGAGAGAGTTTCTCTGACGAAAGCTGCTGGTGAGCGTCTTAAAGAGGGGGCTAACATAAACAAATCTTTGTCAGTATTAGGAAATGTGATAAGGCAACTAAGCGAGGGGAAGGAGTTTATCAGTTATCGCGATTCGAAATTGACTAGACTGCTCTCACAGGCTCTTGGCGGTAATGCCAAATCATTGATTATCGGGAATGTTACTTTAGCTGCAGAGGAGGAGACTAGATCTACACCAGAATTCGCCCAAAGCACTAAAACTGTCAAAAATAAAACGAAAGTAAACATCTTGTCAGCTACAGAAGAGACACTTCAAGGATATCAGAACTTGACTCGCGATCTCGAAACTCGGCTCAAAAAGCAGGCAATTAAGCTAAAAGAGATGGATAAAAGCAAACAAGAGTATCTGCTCGAGATAGAAAGACTAAAAACGGAAGTATCTATTGTCGGGCGCTTTCAAATGGGAGCCTCGGCATCAACACCGAAAAAAACATTAAGACGTCATACTTTTGGACACTATGGCAACGTATCACCTAAAAAAGCATCCCTAGGGTATATGCCATTGAAAAATTATCCACCCAAAGAAGAATCATCCGGACGTGAAATGAGGCCTATTCAAGAAGAGACATATGAGGAGGCACTAGCCGAAGCAGAATCTGTGATAGCTGAAGACGTGCAAGTGTACTTAAAAGACAACGCAAAGAACTGGAAGAATCTTTCAATGAGCTTAGAGAATTCACTAAACTAGATAATCAGCTGGAGATTTTGGACCTGAAGAAACAGCTCACAGAAGCCAATTCTAAAATCGATCGTTACAGTCAGGAACTCCGCCAAGTAACGGATGCGTACAACGAAGAAATAGAAAGAGTTCAAAAAAATTCTCAAAAAGCGCAAGAATTTCATCGACTTGCAATACAGACTCGATTTTCTGGAAAAAAATAATAAAAAGACTAAAAACATACGAGTCAGAAATAGAGATGCTGCGTACTCAACTGAAGAACCTAGGAAGATCAGAGAGCCCTAAACCATCTCTTGAAGCTCAAAATATTGAGTCAAAAAAGAAGGTTGCAGACTTAGAAGCTATGCTTGACGCTGAGTACGAAGATATGCAAGATTCTTTAAGTGCTGCTACACAAACTGATGTAACGATGTCACACATTGCTGAACTGCAAGATGAAATTGGCTTCCTAAAAGAACTTGAATCTAAACTGAGAAATGACGTAAAGAGTCTGATGGACGAGAGTAACCAACGTGAGGTCAACCACTCATTTAAAATCTCAGATATACGATGCCATAATGATTCTACTATAAAAGAGCTTCAGGATCAAATGGCTGAACTGGAATGCCAAAACGAAATCTGGATTATGAAAAGTGCCCCTCTTTATAACCCGTGAAATAGCCCTAGTTCTAATTAAATTTCAGTTCAAGCTTCCAAAATGACTTCCGACAATATTAAAGTAGCCACAAAGATCAGACCAATGATCCACCGCGAAGTAGCCGATGGTCTAGAGCGTCTTTGGAACGTAAGAGTAAACTGCATATGGGAAGCCGATGAAAGTAGTCGCCATGGAGAGGTTTATATATTCGACCATGTATTTAAGCAGGAATGTACAAATTCAGATGTATATGGATCTGTAGTAAAACCTTTAGTCGATTCCTTCATGGAAGGTTTCAATGCCACAATATTTGCATATGGCCAAACATCTTCTGGCAAAACACACACCATTTTGGGCAATAAAACAGATCCTGGGCTTTTCCAATTAGTATCCAATCAGTTATTCCAGCATGTGGCAGACCAGGTTGATAAGAGGTACTTGATTAGATGCAGTTATATTGAAATCTACAATGAAAAGATCAATGACCTCCTGGATAAGAGCAATCAGGGTTTAACTATAAGAGAAGATATCAAAGGAAATGTGCTGCTTGATGCAAGGGAAGCTGTCGTAGACAATGTTGATAAAGTTATGGAGAACATGATGCAGGGCAATAAGATCAGACGAGTTGCAGCTACTCGCATGAATGAGAGGTCATCTCGATCACACACGATTTTCCGGATTATTCTGGAGTCGAAAGATGCCAATCAGAAAGATGGACCTGTACATATAAGCTACCTTAACTTAATGGACTTAGCTGGTTCTGAGAGAGTTTCTCTGACGAAAGCTGCTGGTGAGCGTCTTAAAGAGGGGGCTAACATAAACAAATCTTTGTCAGTATTAGGAAATGTGATAAGGCAACTAAGCGAGGGGAAGGCGTTTTTGGCGGTTAATGCCAAATCATTGATTATCGGGAATGTTACTTTAGCTGCAGAGGAGGAGACTAGATCTACACCAGAATTCGCCCAAAGCACTAAAACTGTCAAAAATAAAACGAAAGTAAACATCTTGTCAGCTACAGAAGAGACACTTCAAGGATATCAGAACTTGACTCGCGATCTCGAAACTCGGCTCAAAAAGCAGGCAATTAAGCTAAAAGAGATGGAAAAGCAAACAAGAGTATCTGCTCGAGATAGAAAGACTAAAAACGGAAGTATCTATTGTCGGGCGCTTTCAAATGGGAGCCTCGGCATCAACACCGAAAAAAACATTAAGACGTCATACTTTTGGACACTATGGCAACGTATCACCTAAAAAAACATCCCTAGGGTATATGCCATTGAAAAATTATCCACCCAAAGAAGAATCATCCGGACGTGAAATGAGGCCTATTCAAGAAGAGACATATGAGGAGGCACTAGCCGAAGCAGAATCTGTGATAGCTGAAGACGTGCAAGTGTACTTAAAAGACAACTCAAAGAACTGGAAGAATCTTTCAATGAGCTTAGAGAATTCACTAAACTAGATAATCAGCTGGAGATTTTGGACCTGAAGAAACAGCTCACAGAAGCCAATTCTAAATTCGATCGTTACAGTCAGGAACTCCGCCAAGTAACGGATGCGTACAACGAAGAAATAGAAAGAGTTCAAAAAAATTCTCAAAAAGCGCAAGAATTTCATCGACTTGCAATACAGACTCGATTTTCTGGAAAAAAATAATAAAAAGACTAAAAACATACGAGTCAGAAATAGAGATGCTGCGTACTCAACTGAAGAACCTAGGAAGATCAGAGAGCCCTAAACCATCTCTTGAAGCTCAAAATATTGAGTCAAAAAAGAAGGTTGCAGACTTAGAAGCTATGCTTGACGCTGAGTACGAAGATATGCAACATTCTTTAAGCTGCTGCACAAACTGATGTAACGATGTCACACATTGCTGAACTGCAAGATGAAATTGGCTTCCTAAAAGAACTTGAATCTAAACTGAGAAATGACGTAAAGAGTCTGATGGACGAGAGTAACCAACGTGAGGTCA